TACAACAGACACCTGGATACACGCTTACAAAAAAGAAACAAAAAGAAACGCATAGTCCCAAAGTAAGGAATTGCATTGAACGTATTTAAGTATACAAAAGTGGATTAGGCTTGAACATAGATGAAGGACACGTGGATGAACAAATGTATTGTTGTCAATGTCAGCATTAATTCAGTTCACTCACTGCACATGTGTGGGCTCATGGTCAGTATCTGGTGACGTTTGCATTGCGAGATAAGCATCTGTTACACGAGCTGTGTTGGGTCGAGCATTGTCGTGTTGAAACAGCTCCATCAAGATTGCCTTGAACCACAACTAGCTCTGAACCACACGTGTAGGACATGGCTCCCCACATCACGACGCTTTCTCCACCAAATCTGCCCACCTGTCGAACGCAGTTCGGCGCTAAACGTTCGTGTTGACGTCGATAGACACGCTATATCCGATCCCGTAGTTGCAGGAGGAAGGCGATTCATCGCTGAACCAAACGCGTTCCATGCGTTCCCCAGGTTCCATGCCTGTACCCTGTTGTGCCATTGGGCACGTTGTTGTCGGTGCAGTCGTGTCAGGACAGGTCCAACTTTTGGTGGATATGCTCGAATTCCCACTTCTCTCAGACGCTTTCTGGAGGGTGGTCGGAAATTCCTCGAGGACCAGGCATCTGTCCTGCAGTGTCCGTTGCTGTAGCAAATCGGTGACGTAGGTGAAACACCCAGATGAATCGGTCCTGAGCAGGATTGGTCACTCTTTGTTTTCCACTTTTGGGTCGATCTTGGGTCAAATTGAAGCAGGTATATAGATGTCATAATCAAGATATGGTGATGTGGTGGACGTTGAAGTGTCTTGCAACGGCAGACTGGGACTCCTACTTCCAAACGCCCAATCGCGATATTTCGATCAGTACCATTAAATCTTGGCATTTTTTATCTTCGTTTGCGTCGTAAATTTCGAAATGAAAAGATGAATTTAGTTTGGCCTTTTATAGTCGATGTCTCTGTTCATGTGTCCGACACACTGCACGTGGATTACGTGGAAATCTTTTTTTCCGCATGCACTTTTCATGTATCTTGAGAGGCATATAGAAGTTGGCATTCAAAATATTATGGATGTCAACTTCTTGTTTATTCTATACACAGTATAGAGTTAACAAGAAGTTGACATCCATAATATTTTGACTTTCATGTATCGTTTTCATTTTTTATGACTAACGTTTGCAAACACAGTTTGGGATGCGTTTGCGCGCAATACACAACAACCACGACATGATTAAAGGGATTCAAATATAGAAATTGTCTTAATGACGATTGCAGTCTAAATATATCGAAATGAACTACTGAAAACGCCTATGCATTTCTTTTTTAAAGAGTATATATACACTATATTGTTGTGCATCACTATATCACCGATTGTAGGAATTGCATCGAGCATTGTTTTACCACTAATTTGTCAATTTATGACTTTTCCTTCACATATCTACTATAAAATGTTCTGAAAGGTCAATTGATGACTTCATTTTGGCTTTGATCGAACGGCTTCTGAACATGAGTCGCGTAGCGGTCTTTGAAATCGTGGTAAAATCATGCTCGATTGTATCTGTGAAGTGTAAACAGGTGCTCTGTAAACTATGCTGTGACATAGGAAACATAAAGGTGGACGGACTTTCTAGCTCAATAATACGTTGCAGCTCATTCTCCTGCCTTTTCCTTCCAACAGCGCATCCTAATCGCCGTCCTACTTACATGCACAGTAGCAATACCCGAGCACCTGAAGTATTTATTAAGTTTGAAAGTCATAATTAAAGAATAAATAATACACAGGGAATATATATGTGTGTCCCCCAGTGGTATTATACCGATGAACTCTGTTGTACATTGCCCAGAATGTAATGTCTGTGTCCAACATGATTCTGCATTTATTGCGTCGTGGACTCAGAGGTGGCTTTACATACTCATATACCTACAAATTGTGAATAATAGCGCATTGGACAATTGCTTACAGCCATTCCCATCTGATATACTGCCCCAGGTACTATTACTGTCATTGGAACCTCGAGGGAATAGATTGGTTAACATCCCACCAAGACGCCTTAATCAACTGTTAGACGCCTTTACCGTTAGGGCCACCACCATGTCCATGTTTCTGTTCAAGAACATTGGCAATACGTGACTTCACATGAATTATATCAGCCATTATAGCTACGAAATGTATAAACCAGTGACACACGCGCAATATGACATTTAGGCCAATATTAGAGGATACCTCTCGCCACTGGATGTGGCTCTGTTGATGTAACACGTCGAAGTTTGGTGTCTGGCTGTGGACATAGAGTTCTACTACAGTGCTTCCAGTGGGTTCTGCGTCAATACAGCAACAGACAATATATGGTGTGCCATACCAGAGTAAACGATTAGGCAGCCGGCTACAGAGATGTATTGCCAGTTCAATGAAATACTGTGTAGATATATCTGGACCTTTGCTGGTACATTCAGAAGAACGAAATCCACAGGAATGTATGATAGCGACAAAACCCTTTTGGCATCCAGAAGAAATCTCAGCTGAAAGCAGATTCGATTGTACAATTGTGACTGTATCATGAGTGTATATTTGTTTCAGCAGTATTACAGCTGAACAATGTTTTTGTAAACAATCGAATCTGGACGAGACAATAAAATGGATTTAATTTGGACCTTCCATGACCAAAAGGTTGTCCGATGCAATGTCCTATTTTAGTTTTGCGTCCTGTTCCCATGTTTTGAGAGTGAGTGAGTGAGTGAGTGAGTATGGTTTTACGCCGCTTCTAGCAATATTCCAGCAATATCACGTTGGGGGACACCAGAAATGGGCCGCCTCCGTGGTGTAGTGGTAAGAGCGTCCGCCCGGAGAGCGGAAGGTCGCGGGTTCGATCCCCGACTGCGTCATACCAAAAGACGTTAAAATATGGTACTTGTTGGTCCCTGCCTGGCGCTCGGCATTAATGGGTACAACAAGGACTGGTCGCCTCGGAGTCAGTATAATGTGTCTGAGTGGGGTATTCATGCTTCACTGCGGCATGGTATCTCAGTGGGCTAGCACTCTAAAACCAGCTTAAGCCTGGGCTAGTACAAGCAGCCGCACACACACACACACACACACACACACACACACGCATGCACGTCGTCATATGAGCGAAATATTCTCAAGCACGACGTTAACCAAATTTCGCCTCACCTCGTCTCACCAGAAATGGGCTTTTACCCATGTGGGGAATCAAACTTCGGCGTGACGAGTCAGTGCTTTAACCACTATAGGCTATCCCACGGCCCCATGTTTTGAGGAGATTTGAGACGACATCTGTTTGTGTCAGGTTTGTATCCCACGACACCTTTTTGCGAACACCTGGCATCATCAGTATGCGACTCTTATGCTCATCACAATATCGGACTAATACAATGGAATTACCGATATTTATGGAAAGGGCTTTGTTGATTTTATCATGATTATTCGCCTGTAACTTTCCAAACACTTGTAGCACAAGGGAGGTTCAGGTAACGTCGGGTTGTTTAATGAAGAGTAGATCATCTGAAAAGACGTTTATTTAGATGACGAGTATGTATAATTATATCAATTCTTTTGTACGTATTGCTAGTATCTTCTTCAGAAACCGGAATTTGCTGTCTTTTGTCAAAGATACATGATGCAGGGTATTGCTAGATAGACAAGCCACCGGCTAAATGTCCAAGCACATTTGAAACAAGTCTTCCAAGCAACACTTTACTGGTCTGTTGGTTTCATTACCTGGTTCAGTCTAGCAATAAATGATTATCCATTTCACATAGTGACAATGTCTCAGTTCCACACATGGCACTAATTACACCGTCTAGACCTTCATTGACAATGGACATGAGGATGTGGAACTAAGTTTCCTTTAAGCTCCAGATGTGCGTCAGAAGGTAATGGTGTAGATTTTACAGTGCTTTGAAAAACAATCGTGCTGTTACCAACACACGAATATATTCAGAGGATAAATATATTGTGTTTCATCGCAAAGCCAAGTTGCCTGAAGTTTGAATCGCGCTAAATAAATTTGGAACCAAACCTGCGGAATGATGCTTCAAATAGCTCTATCCTATAAATATTAGCTCGTACGATGATTGTCCGTCACTTCGGCTATTTCAATCAGAGAGAATTTATTGACCTCAATTGACCAATCAGAATATCGTAATTTCCAAATTCACGGAAAAAGTACTGGTATACCTTTGCCTATTTGGCTACTTTACAAAGGTTCACCGACCACCGAAAATGAATAGGGTTATCCGTAGTGCAGACAAGCGTAATGTTGACGTGAGGCCATAACACTGATAAACCTTCTGTCCTATCCACACAGTCTCAAACAGTATTTCTAGTAAGTGGAGGTTGAGGTAACGAGGTTTCACTATATTCGACTATCACTCGATTAGTTTGGTTGAGAGGTCCTTCAACCAAACTGTCATGTTATAAAATCCATCGTTCATTTCTGATGACGTGAGTACTTCAGTTTAATTTAACAGCTGTTTCTCTGAGATCGATAGAGAGTAAATTACTTCAAGCCTTTACCACAAAACAAAGTACAGGCAATGAACTAAAGAATCGACTCGGTACATGCAGTTATTCGTCCCTTGACCGAAGGTTAATGTCTCTTCAATTGAGAAAAATTAATTCTTTCAGGACGGATCAGTCGGATTTCCTTCCATCTCGTTTAATATGTAAATATCAGCAATGTAGTCTTTGAATTTCATGATCTGTGAAATGAAACAGAATCCTCTAGATTCACACATCCCCCTGTGAGTGTGGGTACGCGTATCGATCCACGAGACAACTTACACGGTTGAAACCATTCAATTGATCCAATACCTTGTAAAAAATCCAATCTCTTCTAAAAAAATATTGAAGCATAAAAGTTGATTCAGTATTTGTCAAGTGTCATAAAATTCAATATCCTCCAGTGTCTGTACTTTGCTTATGTCGTTTTTTCTCATTTTTAGGAACTCACCCTGACCTATGTCTTGGCATTGACTACAACCAGCAGGGGTCAGGCCGAGGGGATGGAGCCCGGACCAGCATGTCTATAGTAGGTCAGCTATATATACAGCACAATCCGCACACTGACCATACCACTGGAAGACATTTTACACCGCCCCTTTTTGATATGCTTGTTCATTGTGTCTTTCGAGGCAATTACATGTAATGTGAAAATGATGTAGGACAGTCTAAACAATCAGTAAGTGAAGCATTTGTAGTGGAACATACATGCATAGAATAATTTAATGTACAATTTTGTAAGATGCAATGTCTTCCAGTGTTTGTTATACACACCGGTGATACATGTAGACGTGGGTTACCTACAGGTACATGTTGATGATTTTTATTGAATTGAATTAGCCAGCGCCTAAATTGTGTACAGTGTTCAGCACACACACGCATCCACCCCCCTCCCACACACACACACACACACACACACACACACACACACACACACACACACACACACACACACACACGTGCACACTCTCACATACGTGCAGACTCACACACACACACACGTACACACTCACACGCACATACACGAACAAGGCGCACACACACACGAGCATACATACGCCAAAACAGAGACACACTCAGTCACATGGACACACATATCTTTTCTATCAGACACAGATTCGTTGATGATCCCTGAAGGTGAAGCAAAATAACCGGAATAACGACCAGCGTCCTCAGAAATATATCTTGCACGCGCCCACACGCACGCATGAACACAAACAAACGACAGACACATACAGCCCACACACATATTCCAAGGCCGTACCAGTTACGATTTCATACATATATATGCACATAAATCATGATTATCCATAGTAAACGACGTCATAAAGTGAGGGTTTCTATAATGTCACGTGCGCCCTCAATATCCTTTCATGCTGATAATATATACAATAATATAAAAACCTATAATATTGAAGGAGTATAAACAAATAAAGCCAACAGAATATTCATATGAAATATACATTTAATATCAACAAAACCTATATCTGTAAGTTTTATGACTTTGTTCCTGCAGACATTGAATTAACTCAGTCCTTGTCCATTTGATCTCTCCTAAAAGGTTTACATGAATGTGTGGTTCTAGAGTGAGCTATGTATATCTTCCAGGACTCAAGGATGATGTGTCGTTTTATATCGGTTGAAAAACGAATAGACCTCAGAGAAATATCAATGCCATGTAAAGACTCGTTCCTTCTTCAATCTGGGTTTATGTTGAACACGGGCATGAAAGAACTCACAAACAAGAACCTATTTGCAAGCAGAAAACGTTGGAGAAGGCTGGAATCAATTGAAGTCGTACTATGATATGACTCCATTATCGCATTACGTGAGGACAGATGCTATATTTAGTTCGGCTTCGCCTACAAGGGATATCCTGGACTGAATGCGCCAATAATTAGTGTCTGGAAAAGATAAAATACATTACGTTTTACAGACAAAGGTCTATTGGTATTCAGAGCCACGGTAATCCTTGACAGGTGATAATACATGTATGTGAGAACGAGCCGAAGAGGCTTGTGGCGAAAGCATCTTTTCAGAATGCTTGATCGTTCACACTTGTTTGTCGAACTATATGGCGCCACGTTTCTTTTTATTCTTGCAGGCTTTCCTTGGTCTTAAAAACGAAATATCCTGGAGTTTATTTGCAGAATTTGTTTTCGTATCCTAACTATCACACATAGTGAATAAAAAAGAACATAATGTGAGCTTTTGCGATACGGAAACCGATGAGAGTAAACACATTATATCATTCTTCAAGTGATGGATGTTAAGTCATGTTGCCATATTTCAATCACTCGAGTAACGTAAGGAAACGCACAGAAATATATTTCCTGATAGAACTTTCCAATATATCAAAGAGGACCAAATGAATTGCAGCATGCTTGTTTCCATGAACACAACGCATAGTAAAATCTCATATATGAGTGAGCCTCCCAATATGTAATATTGTGGCAAACGAAGTGCAGCCATGTTTGTCCCCATAACCACTTAGTCCTCGGAAAATCTCTATCACAATGTTCTTGGGGCATTAAGCAATATGTTTCTGAGCAAATAGTGATCAATCGATATTTGGCGTTTAGTAACAGTAATTCCTGCTTGGCTTCCAATTCCCTCATGTATCGGGTCACAAGTAAAGCTTATCGGGAAGTTTTAAGGCATCGGTATTACTAAGATCCTTACTAGAGGTTAACGTGTGTATACATGGACGTATTAATAACCAATAAACCGGTATCAGTCTTTTTGTTGAATGTGGAGTAATTTAATCGTGAAGATACTAGTTTTCGACTCTCATGTGCCATTTTAATTTGGATTCGTGAGATTTGTCCAGTACCATCAAGTCAAACCCATTAATATTTGATATCTAATATACATTGTAATTAGATATCTATAATTATGAGCGACCATCTGGTGACCGAGTCGCAGTGTTATTTTCACTGTTCATTGTAGACGAACAGTTGGTCTCAGGACCAAGTACATGCGTGTTTGTTCTTCCACTCTTGTCAGTGATTTAGCTAAACATAGTTCAACATGACACACACTGACGGTAACTGAAATGTGTAACGACAAATGAATTTGGGAGATTTGAACTCAAGGGAAAACGTTTCACTGTGGAAGCTTTCTGTGGGAACACTTGATCAAAGCTGAATATATACAGTATGGGTGTAGGTGGGATGGGGTCAGGGATCACAGGCATCCAGTGCACATCTATCCGTGTAGATCCCGGGTTAGAATTGGTCTTCAGTAACCCATGCTTGTCGTAAGAAGTGACTAATGGCATTGGGTAGTCAGGCTCGCTAGCCCAGTTGTGTAGATCGATGATCTTGTTGGTGATCACTGGATTGTCTGGTCCAGACTCGATTATTTGCAGACTACTGACATATAGCTGAAATATTGTTGAAACACAAAGTTAACAAACAAACAAACAAAACAAACTGCACATCTTTATGTCAATCCACATCACGCCTCAGTATCAGAAGAGGAAGTTACACACGATTGAGACAGTAGTTCTTAGTCATGTACATACTTCAACATTCCCAACACGTAACCTTTTAACACGTTTGTACTGAAAAAACGTTTCTGAGCTTAAAAGCAACCATTACTTCCGTCCTCAGTTGGAGGATAACACATATCTTCAAAATAGAAATAAACGGAGTGAGGAAAAAGAAAACTTTTAAGCAGCTTTGATCGTCTAATTGTACTACGTGATCTTCTTTTGGAACCTCTCAATTGTAAAAATGGTGTCTTTCACAATTTACGCTGGTGATATTTCTATTTTGCCTTTGTTTAGTTCAACGGATAAAGATGTCGAACAGAGTGTTTTAAGGGCACTGGTTAACGTGGGAAAGAGAACAAGAAAGTCATGATGAGTCCTGATGCACTGAAAGTATAACTACTACAGTTCCTCTTCCGCCTCAAAAGACTTAACTAAGAACATTAGCTGTCTCCGTAGAAACTATTGATTAAAAAGTGAAACGGAGATCATAGTGAATGCATAATAAAACGGAACATGATCAAAGCTAACTACATCACAATTATAAGTTCCTTCGTCAGCACAGAGCGAATTTTATGTTGAGACAATTCAGTTTTCAATAGGTTTCTAGGGACAATACAGGGCAATATAAGATAATTTCCGGTGGTATAGGTTGTTGCATTAATGCCTAGCCAAGGTGATGTTTGTGCCTTGTTGAAATGTCATATTTAGCAGCTGAAGCGTATTGTGTTATTTCAGACATTTTTTCCAGTGTTATGGTACAGCCGGGAGATAAAACGTAGAACATGAGCTCACATGGTAAGGCGAGAAACTTTTCTTTAAGGCATCTTGAAGAAATTAACATCATCTATCTTCATCATGTCGTTCCAGCGAACAGATTGAACAATTCCTACATCCCAAATACCCCAAAACTGATAAAACATTATCAACCATTAAAACCATATTTGCTTTGATAAAAAATGTCATGACATGACCATGTTGCATTAATAGTTCATATATCATCATTCATGAAAGGAAATGCTCAAGAATTATACACACATATATAGCGTGCGTTATGAAGAGCATATTAACAGTGTATTAAGCACTTCACTTAGTACCTGTTGATGTATAAATGACATCGTAATGTATTATGCTCCAGCTATTCTGAAGCCGAATATATGCATTTATTCCACCATGGCTTCACTGCCAGAACGTAAACGCCAAATGACGTACTTTATCATCTAGGATATCAGACATCATTGCTCAAGGATATTTGACTGTATTTCTAATTAGTGTAATGAGCCCTTATAGGATTACTAAGTGATATAGTATTCACAATATGTAAATATATGAGTTGTGGGTTTTTCTCCCGACGAGAAGTGTTTCTGTGTCAGTCAATAGATAAAGGCATTGCCTCCATGACTCTGTTTCCCGTGTTCCTCCGAGTGACGCCTGATGCCTGCAAACCAAAGAGGCCAGTCTGGTGCGCGATGAAAATTAAGTTTATATGATTAATTATTATCTCCCTCGGGTCAAGTCAAGTCGGATTCTCACTTGATAGACTGATATAAAACACTTGAATACTTTTGGAGAAAAACACTACCGTGAGTGGAAAGGCATTAACTCAATTTACTGAATGTCTGATAATGGTGTATTCTCCGTTGTACTCGTGTTGATGAAAATGTGGTAATGAAAACAATTCCTAGGAAAACTGTTGCCTTGATCCACTGTTACCTGGATTATTAATTACGTTTGAATCATCACAAAATGACATATACAATTGTATAGGATATCATAATTGTATAGCAAGTAACCCCTGAAGAACAGGGTTATAATTAATCTTCAGTAAACCATGCTTGTCGTAAGAGGCGACTAAGGGGATCGGGTGGTCAGGCTCGCTGACTTTGTTGACACACGTCATCGTATCCCAATTGTTTAGATTAATGCTTATGCTGTTGATTACTGGATCGTTTGGTCCAGACTCGATTATTTACATACCTCCGCCATATAACTGGAATATAGCTGTGTGCGGCGTAAAACAAAACTCAGCTCACTCACTCA